AATGGTATCAATGTGGATTTCACAAGCTTCAAAATCTCCCCTCCCCCCACCAATTCCCAAAACCAGCCCAGCTCGTCCCCACCTCCCTAACTTGTTCTTCCTCCCACCTATCCCCTCCTCCCACCTCAAGCTGCACCCCCATCTCCTACCTACTAACCTCATCCCACCCCCTTGACCTGTCCGTCCTCCCTGGCCTGACCTATCCCCTCCCTAACTCCCCACCTACACTCACCTTTACTGGCTCCATCCCCGCCTCTTCGACCTGTCTGTTTCCTCTCCACTTATCTTCTCCTCTATCCATCTTCCATCCGCCTCCCCCTCTCTCCCTATTTATTTCAGAAGCCCCTTCCCCTCCCCCATTTCTAATGAAGGGTCTAGGCCTGAAACATCAGCCTTTTTGCTCCTATGATGCTGCTTGGCCTGCTGTGTTCATCCAGCTCTACACCTTGTTGTCTAGTACCCAGAGCAATCTAGTTAGACGATATCAAGTTTTTGTCCAATAACATGATTTCTGCTTTGATTTGTTAATGCAACCAAGTGATTTTATACGTACCCATCTAATTTTTGAAAAATTAAATATGTTTTCTCGCCTTCGTAAGGTTTGAAATCAACGCAGGATTTCAAGCGATATTGCTCAAATGAATTCAAGATTTCACCCTTGGCATTTAGATCTGTAAATCAAAATACTAAAAAATGAACAATCGATTTAAATAAAGCATAAACTATATTGATCTTCATTTTGCAACCGATATGTTAGTTATAAAGCAGTCATTTCAAAGAGGTAAAAACCTCACAAAAAATACACAAAGAACCATATCCTGATCAAAAATTACACACGATATGTTTTACAGTATACATGTGAGATTTTGTCTAACAAGCAGATATATTGCGATGGGCAATTTATTTTTAAATTATTGAGATCTAAGATACTGTATGCAAAAAAAGAAAGGATCAAATTCTCAGTCCTTTGCACAGTATCAGATAATGGGAGAGCCCTAAGTAATCATCCAATCAACTCAGATCTGTCCTCTGATGCATCAAACAACTTTCCATTACTGTGCAAATTATTGTACTTAAAAATTTGTAAATAATTTTGTTAATGGATTTGAATTACATCCATTATTTAATTTGCATGACTTCCCCTTTGGATTGCGACAGCTTGTGATAAGTAAATTGTTAAGGTAGAATTAGTGTATCAGTGGGTATGATTGGATACTTGGAAGTATTAAATCTCAAATAAAGTAATATCGAGGTAGCAATAATACTCTTCCAACAATAGATACTCAAACTAAGATGTAAATCAATAGTACTTCAATTCATTCTGATTATTGACAAGTTTGTATAGCAAGAGTTACCAAGGCTGTCAGCCAGAATGTATGGAATAGGGAATTTCCATCTCGATGTTGGATCTTTAAGAGCATTCCGTTCCCACTGTAACAAAGTGAGCAAATCAATAATACATTCAAAATTGGAAGTATAGTGTTAGAAATAGGTTTCTTAGAAATCAGTGTAATGTGTCTCACACTTACGCTCTGTGCAATGTCGCCTTGAAACAGAAACCTTTGGGATTCTAAGAATAAGGTATTTAGAAAAGTACAGCAACATTAAAATGCTCTACCTGCTGATCAAAAAAGTCTCACCAAATAACAAAGTGTAAATTGCATTAATATGAAGAATTTTAGGATATATATTTATTAGATTTGAAAGAATATAACCTAAAAGATGATAGAGATATGAGTTTTCTGTTTAAATTTTGCACCTACCTAAATTTATTTTTGGAATGTCATCTCGAAAATCCCCAGGATCTACATCATAAACTGGTTAAGGAAAGACAAGATTTTAACAAGTTAACTGTTACATTCTAAGAAGCTGTGATTTTTTTTTTAAAATAGAGCAGGAAAGTAAAAGTTAAAATATCTCAATACATACCATTCTCAGAAGGAGTCTCTCTGATCTGGAAAAAGAAGATTGATATTTGTTGAAATGGTGAAAGAATGACAAATAGATTTTTAACTTGCAAGAATTGTATCTTACCACCAAACTATTACAGTGGGTGATCAATAATGTTAAGAAAAGGGGAAACAATTCAGAGAGGTTCATGATTGAAGTAGTGGATCCAAATAGCTTAACAGTGCCGTGTTATACAGACACACTAAATTCAGTTTCTCTATTTCCTGGACTTTGTACAGCAAATTTATCTTTACAGCATTCTTGTACCATGCAACAAAATTTGCCGTGACGAAAATCTGCAGTACTGGCAGTATGTTAAGAGGGCAACAGTCACCCAATGATCTTGCTTATAATAGTAAAACAGTCATTCGGAGTTTAACTACATTCTTTCAAAAGACCCTAGTCTACAGGATACGCAAGTGTTTTTTTTGTAGATTATGAAAATAATACAAATGGCTAATGAAAAAGTGAGAAATCCTTACAACAACTTTTCCTCTTTCTTTAACGAAGAGTGCAAATGTAAATTTTGAAAATTACCCAGTCAGCAATTCAGAGAAGATAATATTGGAAGGCTTTTGTTTAGTTGGCAGCCTTTGGGCTAGGAGGTGTGGCTTTGGAACACCTTGCAAAGTTTACATTCACAGCTCATGTCGACAATCTTATATAGTACATCCGACGCCACATTTAAGGGCCAATTAATACAACCACTTCATATGCTGCAAGCTACAAATTGCCCCTCAGACTGTGGTGGTCATCCCTAGTAATGGCTACAAAAAAGTCCAAACAGGCCCAAAGGTATTTGGCTACTGCCCTGGGTATCCTGGTGGATGAAGTTACCAAAAGGTCAGTCCTCTTCATGGGGAAGTGCATCAGGAAGCCAGCCTACCAGACCCATTCTGTCTGAACAACGATTGTAGCATGCTTCATTGTTCTGGCCTCTATAAAACAGGACAGCCAACTGAAAACCATATGTGATCTTTTACACTTCACAAGAATAAACAGTACCATCTTCTTTTGTTTAGTTCTTTCAGTTACCTCTTACTCCTAGGGACACAACTCCCTCTGATTTTATCATTGGTGAAAGGGAAATGGACTGCAAGTCTCAACATTACATGTACGATGTACGCTCATGGGACAACGCCCATCTGAACCTTTCAAAATAATAAATTTGCACTTCCTGCTCAGTCACTTGAGATGCCTCACTACATTGCTTGGTTATGCATTGTCAAAAACTGTTCCTGCTTCCATTCCCATTATACATAAGCCATCTCTTTAGCTCATCTCCAGAAACGTTGGCTCACAACTGGGGGACGTGGTGGACATCAGGAAAGGATGGTCAGGCTGGCCAGGAAAGACCAGGGCCGGTTTCGTGATGCTGAGGAGACAGCAATAGGCCACCAACTCAATGAGCTACATAGCACTCTGCTCTTCTCAGATAGTGCCTAACAGCTTCACTTCACCTTCACAACTGCAGACATTAGCAGCACCTAGGAGATCTCAGGCTGGAAGACGTCACAGCCTGAACCACTCATCATCAGAATCCCCTCATGTGCTACAGTCAACCTGCAGGGGAACATCAGGCAGATTATGCTGGAGACACTCAGAAGGCTGGAGTGAAAGATTGAGGAGTCTGTCCACATTCTCATGACAGTGATGATTCTGGTATGTGAGTGCTTGGCTGTATCCAAGAAAAGGGTAGCAGCTGGCTTGGAGACCTATCGCAGTAGAATGTTCACTGGCTGTCAGAAATGCACTGGGATCCAAACTCCATTGCTTTAGCCCCACATTTGTTCGGCATCAATGACAAGATGAAATGCATTCAAGGTGAGACACTTCAGCCTTACTCCACCTCTCTCAGGTAGACCGAATGGTGCCAGGAGACACCCACAGGTTGGAGGAAAGACTAACAGGCACCCCAGCAACATCTTCTTCTCAGGATGCTCCAAAAGTGCCTGGTTCCTCCATCTCTCCCCTGCTTATGACCTCAATTCGTGCGGTAGTTCATGTTGACTATGATCAACACACATCTGGGCGGGAGACTCTCAGCAGGCATGGCCCACTTAGGAGCCCCAGTCCCTGCAGATTCTCCACTCTCCATTCCAGCTCAGCAGTAGAATCATAACAGGCTATTGTTAGTTGTCAGGATATGGCAGTTGTAATCCAAGACATAAATCCTTAGATTGTGTAACTTGGTCATTTGAGAAGATAAAACTTTGATGGCAAGTATCTTCTTGCATTGAGTGTTGCTGACAGATCACAAGGTGGCAATCATTGGGGACAATGTAACCCTGATGAGTCGTTATGAGTGAGTCTGAATTGGATTAGTTGAACAATATTAATTTACAGATTAACGGTGAATTGAAGGCAGATGGCAAGCATTATTCACTTGAATAATGTTAAAGTGAAAGGCTCTTATGGTGCAGTGGTAGTGTCCATATCTCTGAGCCGAAAAGCCTGTGTTCCATTCCCAACTGTTCCAGAAGTGTGTCCTAACATTTCTCAGCAGGTTGATTTTATAAACAATGAGTTATGTGGCCCCTTATTTGGGATCAAATCCCAGTGCTACATTCCAACCCCTTTGAAAAGAAACTGTATTTACTGCTCCAACTTTTGCAAGCATTTCATTCCAGTCCCAGACTTTATTGCACAGTTGATCAAAGTGGTAAGATTCCAACTTTGCACTGCATAAGTGACTTGCACACTTTGCTTATGACCCATAATTTCCCCCATTGTCCCTTTTTGCATTGCCATCCCTGTGACCCTTCACTCACACTCATGTTGGTTAATTCCCAGTTTTGCACTGCTTGCAGCCTCAACAACCCCTTGGACTGACCCCAGAAAAGCTCTGGATTATGTGCCATCCACCCTGATTGACTGTGGCCTGGACTCGACTCTGAGGATCAAACTCAACAGATACTATTTCGTTTTTATGTTGAATTTCTGCAGCTTCAAGTTTATCAACGGGGGAGAAATTAATTAAGAAGCAGGAGTTAATAGGGTAAGTTGTGTAATTAATGAGATGCAAAAACATGTTAATAGGCACCTCAGCATCTGAGAGCAGAGTGAGAATTTGTCTTCAGACAAATGAGAAATTTTCACAGATAAGAGGAATCGAAAATTGGCTCAGCGACAGGAAACAAAGGGTAATGATGTTTCTTGCAAATGATAAACAGTTTCCCGTTAGGCTCAGTTTTGCTGTCTGGGCTGTATATTAATGATTTAGACTTAAATGTAGGAGGCATGATTGGGAAATCTGCAGGTAACACAAAACTTGGCTGGGTAGTAGAAAGTAAAAACGATGGCTGTTGACTATAGGAAGATATCAATGGTTCGGTTGAATGGGTGCAAAATAAAGGAAATTCATTCCATTTACTTGAAACAAGTAAGGGAAGTAAGAGACAAAAATCAGAAATTGCTGGAAAAACTCAGCAGGGTAGGCAGCATCTGTGGACAGAAAGCAGAGTTAATGTTTCAGGTCCAGTGACCCTACTTCAGAACTGTTCCGTTCAGAACAACTCTTCAGCTGTTCTGGAGAAGGGTCACTGGACCTGAAACATTAATTCTGCTTTCACTCCACAGATGCTGCCTACCCTGCTGAGCTCTTCCAGCAATTTCTGATTTTGTTTCTGATTTCCAGCATATGCAGTTCTTTGATTTTGTTTTGATCTTGGAGTGCATGTCCACGAGTCCCTGAAGGTGGCAGGAGAGGTACGTAATGTCAGAAAGAAGGCGTTGAGAAGAATGAGGCAACATTACTGAAACATACAGATTTGTTAGGGGACTGGTTAAATGTAGAAAGGTTCTTTCCTCTTGTTGGATGCTTTCCTTCGTTGGGAAAGATATTGAATACAATAATAGGGACATAATGATGGAACTATATAAGACATTAGTTAAGCCACAGGTGGTGTTTTGTGAATGGTAGAAAGATCAGAGTGGACATGAGAAAAACCTTTGTCACCAGAAGATGGATGCCTGGAATTCATTGCTTAGTTTGTAACTGAGATAAAAACCTTCAATTTGAAAACAACTTGGATCTGCACCTTAGGTGCTACAAATTGAAAGGCTACAGACCAGGTGCTGAAAAGTGGGATTAGAATGGGCAGCTAATTTATTCAGCTTGTGCAGACCTGATGGGCTGAATGGCCTCTTTCTATTTTGAAACCTTTATATGAATCATTGGAGTTGGGGTAGTAAAGTGACACTGAGGTATACAATCAGCCATAACCCAACTGGTAGGAGGAAAAAGAAGAGAAAATAGAAAAATAGGGAAAACAAATGTGACTGGGGAAGCTATTGAGTGAAGTCCCAAAAGGCCGACACTTGAGCTCATTCTGTTTCAAATGTACATGCATGGCCTAGACATGAAACTAATTTTATTCTGGATCAAATTTGCAACTAACATAAAATAGTGAAGACAAAAAGGGAAAGCGTGAGTTATGTGTTTCAGCCTAATATAATTTAAATGGAGAAAGCTGCAGAACAGAGATATTTGGAAGTTCTTGTCCATGAATCTCAGAAGTCAAGCATCCAAATTCAGGAGATAATAGGAAGGCAAATTGAATGTTGTCTTTTATTTCACAGGATATAGAGGATAAATGTAGGGAGTTTTGCTAAAACTATGCAAAGCACTGGTCACACCACATTTGGAATCATGTGAGCAAGTTGGGCCCCTTGCCATATATGGCACTGGAGACAGTCCAGAGAAGGTTCACTAGGCAGATACCAGGTATGGAGGGACTATTTTATGAGAATAGGTTGAGTAGGTTGGGCCTGAATTCATTAGCGTTGAGAAGAATGAGGCAACATTATTGAAACATACAGATTTGTTAGGGGACTGGTTAAGTGTAGAAAGGTTCTTTCCTCTTGTTGGAGATTCTAGGATCAGAGGGCTTAATCTCAGAATAAATAAAACAGAGATGAAGATTTTTTTTTCTTTCAAAGGTAGTGAAATAGTACAATTCTTCACCACAGAGAGCTGTTAAGCCTGGGTCATTTAGTACCTTCAAGGTGAAAGAGACAGATTTTTAATCAGTAAGGGATTCAAGGGTTGTAGGAAAATGCAGGAAAGTGGAGTTGAGAAATATTGGATCAGCCACAGTCTCATTGCATGGCAGAGACTACTCTACTCCGAGGTCTTAGTTTGCTTTTTCTTTAAAATGTAGGTTAACCATTTGCAAATCGTTACATCTGTAACTATCAT